CACCACCACGCCCGGCTAATTTTTGTATTTTTAGTAGAGATGGGGTTTCACCATGTTGGCCAGGCTGGTCTTGAACTCCTGACCTCAAGTGATCAGCCTGCCTTGGCCTCTCAAAATGCTAGGATTACAAGCATAAGCCACGACACCCAGCCCTGTAGTTTCTATTCGTATGGTATCTGTCTGGTTTTAGTATCAGGATAATACTAGACTCAAAGAATGAGTTGGAAAGTATCCTGTCTCCTCTATATTCTGGAAGAGTTTGTGAAGGATTGTTATTATTTACTATGTAAATATTTGGTAGAATTAATCAGTGAAGCCATTTGATTCTGGGCGTTTCACTGTGGGAGTATTTTTAAATTACCAATTCAGGCCAGTCACAGTGGCTCACACCTGCAGTCTCAGCACTTTGGGAGGCCAAGGCGGGCAGATCACTGAGGTCAGGAGTTTGAGACCAGCCTGACCAACATGGTGAAACCCTGTCTCTAACTTTTGTAAAAATACAAAAGTTAGCCGGGGTGGTGGCGGATGCCTGTAATCCCAGCTACTTAGGAGGCTGAGGCAGGAGGATCACTTGAACCCGGGAAGCAGAGGTTGCAATGACTCCATCTTAAAAAAATAAAAAAAATTTACCAATTTGATTTCTTTACTTGCTGTAGGTCTATAAGTCTATAGATTTTCTATTTATCTTAAGTCAGTTTCAGTAATTTGTGACTACCTAGGTGTCTACCTGTTCATCTATGTTGCCTAATTTGTTGCTATAAAGTTGCTCATAGTACTCCTTATTAATCCTTTTAATTTTTGTAAGGTTGGTTATGATGTCTCCTCTCTTGTTTTTAATTATGACTGAATGTTGAATTTTATTCCTCATTTGAAACAATCATACAAATTTACCCATTTTATCTGTTAATGGGGATAATTATATTAATACAGTTTCTATTGATAAACCATCTTTTCATTCCTTGAGTAAGCCCAACTTGGTCATGGTATTTTCTATAATGTAGGGTTCAATTTCCTTGCATTTAGAATATTTGTATTTACATTCATATTGCAGATTTGCCTTTCTTTTTTAAAAATATTATCTTTGTTAAGTTCAAGTATCATGGTCATACTAGTTTTATACATGATGTAAGAATTCCCTTTTTCAATAATCTGATCAGTTTAATAAAATTAGAATGTTCTCTTAGTTGCAGTATTTGGTAGAAGTCACCTGTAAAATGTACAGAACTGCTCTTTTATTAGTAGTGTAGGTAGGTTTTAATTCATTTTTTCCATTTCTTTAATGGCTGTGGCAGAGGTGATATTCAGAATATTTAAATAACAAGCACTGCACAAACACTTGCCAGTCAGAATAGATGCAGATGACTGTGCTGGAACAGGGTCCTGGAATCGCCATATTGTGTAACGGGGGCTTTTGCTACTGAATCATGGGAAGGTTTTGAGGGAGATATTTCTAGAAGAGGGGCCTGGGTAGTCAGAGGGTGTCAGAGGGTAACTCAGGGCACTGCCTATTTACGAATTAGTATGGAAGAAGTTCAATCTTTTCACAGTGCTTCAGCTGAACCAGTACATATTGGCTAAATATCAGTCCTAGTAATAGGTGTATTTCAGGTTTTCTATTTCTTCCTTTGCCAGTTTTGCTAAGGTGTATTTTTTAGTAAACTGCCTATTTCATCAAAGTTTTCAAGTATATAGGGAATAAAGCTCATCTATCGTCTTATTCTATACTGTTGTCTCCTTTTTTGTTGCTGATATTAGTTGTTTTTGTCTTTTTTTTCTTGATGAATCTTGCCAGAGAATTGCCTATTCAATTAGCCTTTTTAAAAGAGCAGGCTTTAAAAAATCCTCTATTATATTTTCATTTTTAACATCATCAGTTTTGTGCTTTTACACTTATCATTTCCATACATCTACTTTCATTGGATTTATCCTTTTACTTTTTTCCAGTTTTTTGAGGAAGATGCTTAGTTCATCAGTTTTCAACCTACCTTCAGTATGATTTCTTCTTTGATTCATAAATTATTTAAAAGCGAGTTTATAAGTCTCTAAACATGAGAATTTTTAATTAATAACTAAATGATACTAAGAACAGGGAAAATGGTTTGTATAATAATAGTTCTTTGGTACCAGCTGAAACCTACTTTGTAGTTCAGTACATGCTCAATTTTTGTACCTGTTCTAAGTGTGCTTCAGAGGATATTTTTACTAGTTGTTGGGAGCGGAATTCTAAATATATGTAATACATCAAGCTTATTAATAATATTTAAATCTTCCACAGCCTTATCCATTTTTCTTTGTTTGTTGTTGTTGTTGTTTAGACAGAATCTCACTCTGTCACCCAGGCTGCCTCACTGCAACCTCTGCCTCCCAGGTTCAAGCGATTCTCCTGCCTCAGTCTCCCAAGTAGCTGGGATTACAGGCGTGTGCCACTAGGCCCTGCTAATTTTTGTGTTTTATTTTTTGTTGCTGTTGTTGTTGTTGTTGTTATTGTTTTGAGACGGAGTCTCACTCTGTGGCCCAGGCTGGAGTACAGTGGTGCAATCTCAGCTCACTGCAACCTCCACCTCTTGGGTTCAAGTGATTCTCCTGCCTCAGCCTCCCAAGTAGCTGGGACTACAGGTGCCTGCCACCATTCCCAGCTTTTTTTGTATGTTTAGTAGAGATGGGGTTTTGCCATGCTGGCCAGGCTGGTCTCGAACTCCTGACCTCAGGTGATCCACCCACCTTGGCCTTCCGAAGTGCTGGGATTACAGGTGTGAGCCACCACACCTGGCCTAAATTTTGTATTCTTAGTAGAGACAGAGTTTCACCATGTTGGCCAGGCTGGTCTCCTGACCTCACGTCATCTGCCCACCTCAGCCTCCCAAAGTGCTGGGATTACAGGCGTGAGCCACCACACCTGGCCCATTTTTGTCTATCTTATCTATTAGTAAATGAGAGAATGCTGTTAATATTTTCCGCTGAGATGGAGATTTCTCACTTCTTTCTTGTAATTCTCTCCACTTTTGCTTTTTATATTTTTATGCTATGTTTTTAGGTGCTACAAGCTTTTATATTTTAGTGAAATTAATCTTTTGTTATAGTACCTTTTTATCAATAATGCTTTTTGCCTTAAACTTTATTTTGTCTGCTATTAATGTAGCTACAACTGTTTTGTCTTTGATGTGTAATTCTGTTTGTTTTTTCTCATCCTTTTACTTTCAACTTTTCTGGGTTTGTATGTTTTAACTGTGTCCCTTACAAAGAAAATACAGCTCTGTTTTATTTTTAATCTAATCTAACACTGTCTATTTTTAACTGGACAGTTTAGTCCATATACGTTTATCACAATTATTAATATTTGGATTGAAGCTTAGGTTATCTGCCTACCAGTTTTATGCTTTGTGAAATAACAAAAAATATTTTTCCTGAAATTAAGGAAATTTATTTTATAAGCCAGTTTTCATCATGAACTATACAACTTGGTCTCCTTCCTGTATAATTTTCTCCAACATTTTTAGTTGCAGTATATGACAGTTTTGTGCTTCTTAACTTATCTTTTCTTTTAAATAATTCTCTTTTTTCCTTCCCTTCTCCGCTTCTATGGGATTCATCATGTTTTATTAGTTTTTTACCCTCTACTAATTTGGAAGTTATCATTTATATTTCTATTCAAATTTTATTTCTAAATTTTAGTAAACAAATTCATTTAGTAGGTATGCTTGTCTTTGTCTAAAGATAACCAATAGTTTTGTCTTCCACTCAAAAGTATGGGTAGCTACAAATCTCTAAGAATAGCCCCTCTCTTTTTACATATGACCTCTAAAAAGAATATTCCAAAAATGATGGCCACACACAGTGGCTCATGCCTGTAATCCTTGTACTTTGGGAGCTGAGGCAGGAGGATCACTAGAGCCCAGGAGTTCAAGACCAGCCTGGGCAGCATAGGGAGACCCCGTCTCTACAAAAATTAAAAAATTAGGTGGGCATGGTGGCACATGCCTATAGTCCAAGCTACTCAGGAGTCTGAGGCAGGAGGATCACTTAAGCCTAGGAGATCCAGGCTGCAGTGAGCTGTGACTGCACTACAGCCTGGGTGACAATGCGAGACCCTGTCTCAGAACAACAACAAAAACAAATACACACAGAAATGATCATGGTGTGTTTACTGTATTATCATTTCACCATGGCTAGCAAAGCAGGCATGTTTCAATTATTTTTCAAACTTCAACTCTGTAAGTATCAATTTCTTTAAAAGGAGACATTTTGTTGGAATGTTTCACAACAGAGGCATAACTGGCATTTTAGGTGGGACAACTAGTCCACTCTGCACACTGACCTGTGTACTGCAGGATGTTTAGAAACTCTGGTCCTTGCCGACTAAATGCTAGTAGATAGCTGTCTTTCCCCATAGTGACAACCAAAACTGCCCCACGCTTTATTTCTAAACACTCCCTTTGAGATCAGTACCACTCCAAATGAGAACTACTCTTTTAATGCATGAAAACAAAAGAACAGAAATTGCAAAATAAATATATGTAGAATTGAAGGAAGAAAAAGTGAGAAACAGTTTAGTTTCGCAGGAGAAATAACAAAAATATTTTTCCTTAAGTTCAGGAAACTCTTTTTATAAGACAGTTTTCATCACTAACTATACTACTTGGTCTCCTTCCTGTATCATTTTCTCCTAAAATTTTCAGTTGCAATATATGAGTAAGTACAATTAACGATATCATCACTTTTTGGTTGTTTTTCCTAAAGCCAGTTTCTTTCTTGAGGCTAGGACAGAACACTGAATTTGTTCACCATCTTTTAAAAAATGTTTTTGTTCATAATCCTAACATGGTCTCCTATTCACAAACCTGTTAGTGTCCCAAATAATGACATTTCCATCAAATCCTGATGTTACTAAGAGTCTTGTATTAGTATCATATTCGATGTTCTTCACCCAGCTAGTGTGACCATGTAAAGTGCATACTTTGGTGTTCAATTTTCTCAGATCCCATAGTGCTATTGTAGTGTCATCAGAGCAGGTAGCAAACAGCCGGTTATCAAGAAATCTATAAAAGCAGAAAAACAAAACCCTGGTTCATTTAGTCTCTTTTTAAAGGAAAATTGATTTCAGAAACAGTCACTATATTACCTAGTCAAGAAAGAAAGAAAAAAAGGACTACACACTCACTATATAAACCCAATGACTCTGATATACTATAAAAAGTATACTTTGCATAATCACAGAGCCAGGATACTATGATTTAATGACAGTCACATTGCAATTGGATCCATTTGCTTTAAATTACTGATTTTTATTTGAAATTGGAAATAGGGGTAAGTGTTTGGAAAACAGTGACAGAAGGGAAAAAAAGAACTTCAGAATCTCTATAGGAAACAAAAATGATGAGAGAGAATTTAATAGGAGATAGAGGAAGTTTTGAAGACTTGATTGCCAAGAGGGACACATTACACGTAATCAAAATCATGAGAAATATTTGCTCTGCTACAAGTAACATCTTTTTCTATTTAAAACACATTTACACACAAAAATTGATGTAAAAATTGCCATTTTTAAAAATCTTTTAACTCAAAGGTATTTCCCACATAATCTTTTAGCAACATTTTATTAGGACCAGTCAAGATTACAAAATAAGACTTAAAATACTATATAATTCAGACTTTTCATTATTTTACACTAACTTCTCAATCCTTAGTGAGAATATATTTAATACAAATGCTTAAAAAATAAACTACTATTCACACTTGAATTTTTGTTTAACATTAGGATGCCTTCTGTAATACATGCTGTTACCCTAATCTCTTACCGAAGAAATGAATTCTGGTGCTTCTCCCAAGATAAATTTACATATAATTGTCAGAAATCAACCTCAATATCCACAAATACCATAACGACTTTCCTAAAATTGATCATGGTTTTCAAATACCAGGCGTTTACACAGGTTGTTTCTGCTACCTGAAACAACCTTCCTCCTGCCCCTGGATGTGGCTAATTCTTGCTTTCTTTTTAATACCATCATGTGTCGCTTAATGATGGAATACATTCTGAGAAATGTGTCCTTAGGTGATTTTGTTGTTGTGTGAACATCATAGAATGAACTTACACAAACCTAGATGGTACACACTGAGGTTATATGGTATATATGGTATGTAGCCTATCACTCATAGGCTACAAATGTGCACAGCATGTTACCGTACTAAATACTGTAGGCAACTGTAACACAATTGTAAGTATTTGTATATTGAAAGATAGAAAAAAATACAGTAAAAGTACTGTATAAAAGATTTAAAATGTTACACCTGTATAGGGCACTTACCATGAATGGAGCTTGCAGGAGCAGGAGTTGCTCTGGGTGGGTCAGTGAGTGAGGGGTGAGTCAGTGTGAAGGCCTAGGGCATTGCTGTCCATTACTGTAGACATTATAAACACTGTACACTTAGGCTACACTAAATTAATTTAAAACTTTTTCTTCAGTAATAAATTAACCTTAGATTACTATAACTTTTTTTACTTAATGAATTTTTAATTTTTTAAACTTTTGACTCTTTTGTAATAACAGCTTAAACACAAACACATTGTACAACTGTACAAAACTATGTTCTTTCTTTATATCCTTATTTTATAAACTTTTTTCTATTAAAATGTTTACTTTTTAAACTTTTTTGTTAAAAACAAAGACACACATTAGCCTAGTCCTACACAGGGTAAAAATCATCAGTATCACTGTCTTCCACCTCCACATCTTGCCCCACTGGGCAATAACAGGAACAGAGCTGTCATCTCCTGATAACAATGGCTTCTTCTGGAGTACCTCCTGAAGAACCTCCCTAAGGCTGTTTTACAGTTTACTTTTTTTTTTTTTAAGTAGGAGTACATTCTAAAATAACAATAAAAAGTATAACACAGTAAGTATTAGGCAATAGGAATTTTTCAGCTCCATTATAATCTTCTGGAACCACTGTTGTACATGATGTCACTCACTGAAACGTTGTTATGTGGCATATAACTGTATTCAGCTGTTATCCCCTCCAGGAAGCCTTTCCTGTTTAACCAGCCTGGTAGACCTACCAATTCTCTGAGCTCCCAAAGTATTCTGGGAGCTTCTATCATAATACTTAATATTATACTGTTGGTGAAACCCCGTCTCTACTAAAAATACAAAAAATTAGCCGGGCGTGGTGGTGAGCACCTGTAATCCCAGCCACTGGAAGGCTGAGGCAGGAGAATGGCGTGAACCCAGGAGGCAGAGCTTGCAGTGAGCCCAGATGGCACCACCGCACTCCTGCCTGGGCAACAGGGCGAGACTCCGTCTCAAAAAAAAAAAAGAAAAGGCTGGGCGCGGTGGCTCAAGCCTGTAATCCCAGCACTTTGGGAGACCGAGGCGGGTGGATCACGAGGTCAGGAGATCGAGATCATCCTGGCTAACATGGTGAAACCCCGTCTCTACTAAAAATAGAAAAAACTAGCCGGGTGTGGTGGCGGGCGCCTGTAGTCCCAGCTACTCGGAGGCTGAGGTGGGAGAATGGCGTGAACCCGGGAGGCGGAGCTTGCAGGGAGCCAAGATCCCACCACTGCACTCCAGCCTGGGAGACACAGCGAGACTCCGTCTCAAAAAAAAAAAAAGAAAAAAAAAAAATTATACTGTAAGGAACAACTTTACTATAAACTCCTTGAAGGCAGAAGGAACCTGTCTGCCTCGGGTCATGGTTAGATCTGCAGTATACAATACACATGGTACCAGACACATACGCACTCAACAAATACTTATAAAATAAACAAAAGAGGAGTTCACTGCCTAGCAGAAAAGACAATGTAACTACATAATTACACAAAATAATTGTGTGGAATAAGCAAAGAGGGTGGTTGGGAAGGACTTCATGATGTTATCATTTGAACTGAATAAAAGATGAGCAGGAACTACCTAAGTGGCCGGGGGTAAGCAAAGGTACACAGGCATGTGAGCGGATGGTGCCCTCTGAGAAGCGGTGTTAGGAATGCTGTGTATGGGAAAGTAGAGATGACTAGGGATTACATTATGGATTTATTCTATGGTGATTCCCAGTAACTATTTCTTAATTATAAAAATACATTTCTTGGCCAGGCGTGGTTGCTCATGCCTATAATCCCACTTTGGAAGGCCAAGATGGATGGATCGCTTGAGCTCAGGAGTTTGAGACCAGCCTGGGCAAACATGACGAAACCCCATCTCTTATTTTAAAAATAACAACAAAAAACATTTCTATTGAAACTATTTTTAATGAAAAAAAATCCGTCACCAAAAATAACCACTTTATTGATGTTTAGCTTAATTTCTATGTTTTAAACCTAATATTATCTCAAAAACATATTGCCATGTTATTAAAGATTTATTGACAAAATCATTTTTAATGGCTGAATAGTGTTCACTGTATGAAGAAACCGAAATCTTTTTTCTTTAAAAAAAATTTTTTTTTTTGGAGACAGAGTCACGCTCTATCCCCCAGGTGCTCACTGCAACCTCTACCTCCTGGATTCAAGTGATTCTCATGCCTCAGCTTCCAGAGTAGCTGGGATTACAGGAACCTGCCACGACGCCCCGCTAATTTTTGTATTTTTAGTAGAGACGGGTTTCGTCAGGTTGGCCAGGCTGTTCACGAATTCCTGACCTCAGGTGATCTGCCTGCCTCAGCCTCCCAAAGTGCTGGGATTACAGGCATGAGCCACCGTGCCCGGCTTCTTTTTAAAATGAATATGCAATTTTTGGGTGTTTGGATTGCTTACAATTTTTTACTACTAAAAAACACTAAGATGAGCATACTTACAGCCAAATATTAATCACATCCCTATTTATTTCTCTAAGTATATTCCCAGAAAAACATATTGCTAAGTAAAATGGGATTTGTTTAATGTAAGTTTTTTTTAATATAGCCAAATTGTCCTCCAGAAAAACATACCAATATAGAGATCCATCAGCAGTTAGGAGAGTGTCCATTTTCCCAAATCCTTGCCACATAGGTCTTTAAAAAAACTTTCTCCTAAGTGCTAGGAAAAAATATCACTTGTTTTAAGTTGAAACTTTTATTTTTAGTAAAGTTGAAACTTTTTCACATTTATTAGAAAGATATATTTCTTTGCTGTTCATGTTCCTTGCTGATTTTAAAACTGCAGTATTAATTACTGTGTTGTAAAAAAATCTTTAAAGATAATATATCAGTTTTTCAAATACTATGCATTGTATATATTTTCCACATATTTCTTTTATATGGTTTATATTTTCTTACCATATCAAAATTTTAATTTTTTTTTCTTGAGACAAGGTCTTGCTCTGTTGCCCAGGCTGGAGTGCAGTGATGATTATGGCTCACCGCAGCCTTGACCTCCCAGGCTCAAGCAACCCTCCTTGTCTCAGTCTCCTGAGTAGCTGGGACTATGGGCACACGCCACCATGCCCAGCTAATCAAAATTTTAATTCTTATATTGTCAAGTCCATTTTTCCCTTATAGGTTTACCTTTACTGATAATGTGTTGTTGTTGTTGTTGTTGTTTTGAGACTGAGTTTAGCTGCTGTTGCCCAGGCTGGAGTGCAATGGCGTGTTCTCAGCTCACTGCAACCTTCGGCTCCTGGGTTCAAGCGATTCTCCTGCTTGAGCCTCCTGAGTAGCTGAGATTACAGGCACCCGCCACCACACCCAGGTAATCTTTTTTGGGGGGGGCAGAGTCTCACTCTTGTCTCCCAGGCTGGAGTGCGGTGGCGCGATCTGGGCTCACTGCAACCTCCACCTTCCGGGTTCATGCCATTCTTCTGCTTCAGCCTCCCGAGTAGCTGAGATTACAGGCACCCGCCATCACGCCCAGCTAATTTTTGTATTTTCAGTAGAGACAGGGTTTCACCATTTTGGCCAGGCTGGTCTCAAACTCCTGGCATCAAATGATCTGCCTGCCTCAGCCTCCCGAAGTGCTGGGATTACAGGAGTGAGCCACCACGCCCGGTTCCTGCTAATTTTCTTTACATTTTTAGTAGAGACAGGGTTTCAACATGTTGGCCAAGCTGGTTTTGAACTCTTGACC